GTGTTTGTGTATGTATGTGCGAGCACATGAGTGCCTGTGTGTGCGCGTACCCGTGTGTATGTGTGAGTGCACATGAGTGAGTTTGGGTGCGTCATAACAGTTAAAGCACTGTGTGTGTGTGTGTCTCTGTGTAAGTGACTTTCTGCCGGTCATAAAAGTAATCTCCTCTCTCCCAAGCTACACCAAAGTCCTTTACAAAACATACAAAACACAGTTAACAGATTACAAACACTGAGACCCCCACTCTGCATCCACTGGGCCACTGGCCTCTTCTTGTCTTACATTTACAGATAAGCATGTGGAGAGGCTCCTGCAAACCTACTTCTAAGTTATAACAATTATGAGGTACAAGCATCAGCATCCCCCAACTGTAGCTTCCTGTCTCCTTTCATGACAGGCAGACCCCCAGTGTCAATAAATTCCTTTCCCTCTACACAATTACACACACTCTCAAGCCTACAGCTAAGCCAAACTGAAACACACAGACAAATCCTTCCCTATTCCTCTGATCTACTGATGGACCCTCTCATCTAAGCAAAAATAACACATTATAGTCTAATAATTGTGTTCTTTTACTCACAGTAACAACACACACAGTACAGTTTACACTTATATAATTTTAAAATAAACACATTAATGTAAAAGAACCAGAGAGACGAGTCACAAGGTGCCCTCTGCCCTTAATCTATTTTTATGTTCTTCCTTTTTCTTTTGATTTTCACCTTATTTGGCTTTTTTTGCGGCCAATCGCAGAGGACCTCTGTCTGCAGCTTAAGGAAGTTTAAAGTAGATGCTGTGGTATGACTTTCTAACAAATAGGTACCAAACCACCCCCACTTCTTCTTTCTAAACTATTTTCTCCCATTAAATTTGTGCTGATGTTGAGGTCAACTTTGTTATTTGGCTTACTCATGCAACAAGTTTAAAAGTTTAAATGATGAAAGTTTACATGCCAGATGAAAAATAGTCTAAAAAAACTCTACTTTAAACCTGTGAAGCCTGAAACATGAAATAATTGCCAGAAAATTCAATTTCATTTAACCTTCTGACAATTTTGTTTAAAGAAATTAAACATCAATTTGCATATATGAGTTTTCATTTTTGCTGCACCTGGCTTTTGTATGCAAATTATTGTCCAGAATAGAACTTTGGGTCTCACTGTATGCATCTCAAATACTATTTTAACAAATATAATACATTTGCTGCGCATCACTAGACAGGTTAGTCCTTCAAACCTGCTTTGGCTCAAGGCACCAATGATGTGCTCAACAAGATCACACAACTGAAAAGTGTGAACACAGAGATGATTTTAGTAACTGTGGTGTTGAATCATTACATCATTACCACCTATGCAGCAGCATAGAAACACATCTGAACGCTAAAACACAATTTTAACAAATAAATTCTCATTGTTGAGATGTGGGTTTTTGGCACACCTATAAGTCAGATACAGCTCGGTCGATACGCCATGGTAGTAATAATGGTCATGGATGATATGACGGGAGACTGAGTGAGAAAGGATTTTACTTAGAACTGTGAAAGTGCAGTCCTACTCGGAGCCTTGGAAGGGACAAAATGATGACATCCAAAGTATGAGTAAGCAGTATTGTGTAAGCTAGAGCTCTGAAGCTGTGGGATTTGGTTCCTCAACTGCCACCCAGGTCACCGGCCCGTGAAAGGAATCTTTCTTTGTTGCATTCTGTTTAAGAGAGTTCTCAAAAACTCTTTTAGAGAGTTCTCATCAAAATTTAGTGTAACCATGGTGTGTAGTCAATACAAGCAGTACTGTAAACGGTCTGTCAAGGCTCTCTGTGTGCGGGCAGGCGGAGAAGTGAAGGCAGAGGTAAACTCTGAGAATAATCTCAGCTTTATTGCTGACCAAAACTACAAAACTCAAAATGACACAGGAACAGAACACACAGGCTGGACCGATGGTGAGCAGACGTTAACGACGTGACCCTGCACAGAAGGAAACACAGAAAATAAATACCAGAGGAAAATGAGGGAATGAGAACCAGATGAGGAACAGAGCTGATACAAATTAAAAGGGAGACATAAAACTAGAGACATTGATATGAGACACAGACTTTCAGAATAAAATAGGAAATCCATAGACCAAAACTCAAATGCACTGAACTAAACTTCTATTAAATACTAGAAATAACAAATTACAAAAACAATACACAAAACACTGGGTCACTGACCCAGGACCATCACACGGTCAAAGAAATGGTGTATGCAAGGTTGTTTGGAGAAAGAACACAATCCAAAAAGGTGTCTCAGAGAGGAGAGCATAAAAACAACTGAGCTCTGAGGTCTTTTATAGATATTATAGATTTACAGATTTTATAGATGGCACACAAACGTGTCACATCAGCCTTCCAATGCCAGCAAATAAGACCTGACACTCAAGCAGACCAAAAAGAAGTCAAGGTGGTGTGGGTCATCACAGAGAAATGTCAGATTTGAATGATGTGTGACAATGTAGAGTGTCATGTGCTGAAAGGGGTTCTTGGGGGTTTCTCTGTATTATTGTAGGGTCTTTACTGTACAATATAAAGCACCTCAAGGTGACTGTTGTTGTGATTTAGTACTATATAAATAAAACTGAACTTCCTTAAAAGCTGCAATTTTCATTATTTTGAAAAAAAAATTGCTTTGTTAGTCTAACCTCCTCAAATGTGGCAACCATGGAAAGCTAAGGATGACCTCTTGACAGTACAGTAGGACTCATGTAGATTGCATAAATAGTGCTTGAATTAGAGTTTTCAGAGTCATGTCCCCACAAAAGACAAAATTAATTTCTCAGTCTTTGGAAGCTCTACCTGAGTAAAGGGGAAGAAGATTGTTTAATCAGGAGCATGTTTTTTTTCCCCTAAGACATTATTTGGTGGGGACGCTACACTGTTACTTGGTTTCTAGCACTACCTGCTTTTCACATTTTTTTAATAACAATCCTAATATTAAGCTATTAGTATTGCAAGGTCAGGGTCTTAGACCTTGCCATTTTTAAAGATAAGAAAGACTTTACATACATCTGTATTTAGAAACCAACAGAAAGAAACATTATATTACATGGAAGCAGCTTTCATCCAACTTTGCTTAACCCTTTCATGCATGAATTATGACAACCTCAATCAGGATTGTTTTCTTAAGTATTTTTATTCATCTTTAGGCATAAAAAAAGATTGTTGAACGTTTTTAAAACTTTTTTAAAATGTTTTTTAAAATGTCCATCTGTGGACAACATGTGTTTTGACTTATGAATTTGAAAAATGAATAAATAATATACACTGTGTTGTGTTTATGTGCAAGTAAACTATGAACACTGACACAAATACAAGAAAACAGCCTTTGAATAGCTGTTCATTATAGTGGCCACTATATGTGAAATGGTTAAAGAAAATATCTCTTTTTGTCAATTCCTATGACCAAGAAAGAAAAGTTTCAAAAATAATAACATTTACTAAGGCTTTCAGACACTAGCCCTTCAACCAATCGCTGACACTGGATCACCAGCCATCGGTTGAATCATTCTGCACGACAACACCATCACTCCATCCACTCCACTGAGATGATCCAGAGCAGGTGTTTGTTATTCGTGTCCTCATTCTCAGTTTGTAGGTGTGTGTGGCATCTGAAACTGGCTCTCTGTAAGACTGCTGGGCGATCAAGTATATTGGCTGTTCCTGTTTTGAAAAGAGTCATTAAAAATAAATAAATAAATCTTGGGTTTACCTTAATGTTCCTCTGTACCTCAGACTGCTCTGACTTTCAACTTCTATTGAGTACAGCTAAACCTATCAGAATGTGTTATTTATTGCTTCTGAGAATGGAAAAAAATGTAACCAGCATTTATCAAAAGATGTTCACATTTTCTACTTAAAAAAGTCATTTTTGTTTTTCTCTAATTAAAACATTAAAAATACTTTAGTCCTCACTGAGTTGAGTTTTTCACCAAGTTTGTCTCATTCATTAATCCCGTCATATGTGCACGAGAAAGATCCGTGATCAGAGATACTGTACCTGATCACCTTTGTCCAGCTGGTATTCAAAACAATAAGGGTTAACGACTTCTCTGGTGCGAGGCAGACCCCATGATACAACCAGGGCTCCACCTTTGACTGAAGCATAGATGTTTGGAGGTGGAGAAAGGAGCTCTGTCTCACACACACAGACACAGACACACACACACACGCACAATTAGTAAAATAACTGGAAACATTTAATTCTGAACATCTGCTGTAGATTGTGGCTGAAATACACTGGAGTCTGAACTGAAACTTCAGGTTACCACTCCATACCCCCTGTACTTGGCACTAACCCCGAGTTTTAGTCACAGCCTTCAAGATCTCAAAGGACAGAAAATTTTAAATTACTGATGGAGAAAAATTGTCAAAAGCTTTATTTGGCTAGCATGTTAAGAATAATTCATAGGAAAACAATGATCAATAATAAGAACTGCAAAATAAGAACTTTTATCATGTTCATGACCCACTGCACATTCTTTTAAAACAATTCTGGTGACATGGCTTTGTGGAAGACAATGTTACAGTGACAGTGTTGAATTAACTATAATAATTTTTACTGTTTCTACGATCTATCTATCTATCTATCTATCTATCTATCTATCTGTCTGTCTGTCTGTCTCTAGAGAGAGAGATATTTGTATTTTTTTAATCTGATCTATAGCATTATCATTTAGAACTACTTAATAGTCTTGAAATATTACCCAGCATGTCCATGTCATACACGTAGGTGTAAGACGTCCACTTGTTCTGCATGGACTTGTTCAAATGAAGGATAACTTCTGCCATATTATTGCTGAGAATCAAAGACGCTGATCCAGCTCTTTCCACAGAAGTATAGTTTAGTGACTCAACCAGTATTTCATCATCACAAATGCTGGTAGGGGAGACAGAGGAGATATAGACTCAAAGCAGTGTTTCAGCTTATTGTACCTTATTCGTAAATAAAGCTCTATTTAAAAATAAGAATACCTGATAAACACAGAGAGCTTAGTATCCTTCTCTAAAGTGTTGAATGACCAGGAGCAGTTGAGCTCATTTGTCGGGTAGAGGAGGCAGATAAACTTCTCCTTTATATCTGTAAGGTCTTCATAGGAATCCTGCTGAGCTGAAGTCCGTATGAGAACCATACCCAACTTCACATACAAGATCAGAACATTGAAACATTAAAAAACGCACCATATTTATATTTATTAGTTAGAGCCATACATTTTTGGACAGTCTCTGTACACCAACACAATGGTGCTGGAGTAAAGAGTGGCAAGCCATTACAGCCATTTTTATACATAAAATTGTAATTCCTGTCTGGATTTCAATGACTTCCTGATTGTTTAATTTCAAATCGGCTGTAGTTGTGTACAGAGTCAAAACTACAATAACTGTGTCACTGTTCAAATACTTATGGACCTAATGGTACAAGCACCATGTCTGTATGGTCGTTCAAAGATTAAAAGGCAGGTTTATTTTCACCTCGTACTGGTCATCCATTTTCTCTTGACAGGCATTCAAAGTGTGGCCCTCAGATTCTTGGGGGAACGAAGAAGAAGAAGAAAAGGAAATAAAGCTGAACACCACCCTGATTAAAGTAATATTAAAGGAAATCTTTTGTTTAAAAAAAAAAAACACCAATGACTTAAGGTCAAATGTTTTCATAGCTATTCCTTATAGCCCATTTGTTCACAGAGTGTCTGTGTACATTGTGATTACTCTTTCACTTACCACATTGTGTGAACCACAAAACCAACAAACTGGACCAAATAACAGGATGATGTGGAAACAGCTTCATGGCTGATCTGAGTGATACAAATGTGCACATATACGCATGTATCAATAAGCATGCAGCATTAGAAAGCACAGAGACGCTGCTGTAGCACTTTTCTGCAGCATTTTCCTGTGTTACTTCCCCCTTTTTACATGCGTACATACGGAAGTTGGGACGTCTCAGTGGTCACATAATCAAACACAAAGAAACTTCTTTCCTCGTACGAGTTTTACGTCTTCACTAAATTACACTGACTTGTGAATTTTAACAACACAAATGCAATTTTCCATTGCCACCAACTACTTTTATCCACAGAAAAGAAAGGACATGATACGTTTGCTTTGTTCATACATTCAGAAGATAAATAGCCTCGACTATGATTAACTATTCTGGATTAAAGCTCTCATATGAATCAAATCGAATAAGAAAGCCACCTGTCATGGTTGTGTTATAGTAACAATGCTATAAAAGAAATAATAAAAAGCTGTTACCTTCAGTTGTCCCTCTACTGTCAATGACTGTGATTCTCTGCCTGAGGACAATGACACGCTTCTGAACAAAGAAGAAGCATGACGTCACGTACTGTAGATTCAGGAAACCTGGAAATCTTTCTGTGAATTTATTCTGCTTCACTTACGTATGCTGCAACCGCAAGTCAATCAATTGATTGATTATCCAATCATTATTTTTAAATTATCCAAAGCTCAGTCATGATGGCCGCAGACTGAACAGAGTTTTCCACACATCCCTTTCCCAGTAACACTTTCATTACACACACTTGATACAGTGGGGCCATTGTAAGTTCATGGGAGACATTAGACAGATAGTGAGACTCCTTCTCCTTATCAGGGAGAGATAGGCCAACATGAGTTATGGCATGTTCTTTGTTTTGGAAGATTCAGGGCAGTGTCCTTCCTCAGAAAACTGTTTGGTGTTTGATCTGAACATTTTCCTCCACTGCAGTGTTTTCCTTGTCCTTATTCTTTTAATAAACCTCACTGTACCTCACTTTGTAAACTGACCCCAAAACCCCTTTTGGGTAACTGTGACAGGAAATGATGTGATTCATACATGGTGTTATAGCAGACACAATAACCTACTATCACTAGAACGTTGTTCAGTGCTGTCCTCTTGTAATAATGTTCAGTCAGAGATGATGTCACAGCACTGGAAAACTGTATTTATCATTGGCACACATTAAGCACAAACTGTAGCTGGCCAGTAGGGGAGTGGTTCTGAAATTGTAGGAAATAATATAAACATCGTCTTGATGCATTCTCAGTCATCCAGGAAAGTAAATCTCCAAAAAGTTGATTCTGTTCATCTGGACGTAGCGTTTTGTGGGAGAAACGTTTTGTCACTCATCCAAGTGACTTCTTCAGTCTCAAAGAAAAGACTGAACTGCCAGGAGTTGTGGCCCCAAAGTACATCCAGGGAGAAGGTGGTCACTGATACAAGTCAATTCTTGCCGTTATGCCGCGCCATGTGGCATGGGATATAGCAGCTAGTCGGAGTATTCTCAGCTCTACGATCAAGTTTCAATTTTAATTTCAATTCAATTTTATTTCTACAGCGGAAAATCACAACAGCAGTCACCTCAAAGCGCTTTATATTGTAGACCCTACAAAGATACAGTATAGTTTGAAAACATAACTTCCCTTTTCCAGTCTCTGAATCCCTGTTGTGTAGGCAAGGACATGCTCCAGTGACTTCAACAATCTGCGCTCTGTACTGTGGCGCACAGCGAGTACTGCCTCCTTAGGTGCAGACAGCGTAGACATATTATAAGCCTGTAGGAGCTGTGTTGCATACAGCTGAACTCCACCAATGTCTCAAGAAGCTTAATAGCGTCTTGGTCTTGTCACGACCTGGTGCTGGCTTTGGCAGTGCAACAGGGTAGCACATCCATTTGCCATAGTCTCTCCAACATCTCAAAACAGGTTTGCATTCTGGGACTGACGGGTGGTGAAATAACACTGGTCCTCAGTCAAGTGCTCCTTAGTCAAGAGTTATTCATCTCTGACTCGCTTCCACAGCATGTCTTTTAACCTGTCTTCCTTCTTTCTCTTCCCACCCGGTCGTGGCAGATGGCCCCGCCCCTCCCTGAGCCTGGTTTTGTCAGAGGTTTCTTCCT